TTAATTAATTAATTAATTAAATTGAGCGATTAATTAATTTTCATCTAGAGAAATAGGCCAAAATATTGTAAATAAAGATAAATAATAATAACAACAAAATAACAACAACAACAACAACAACAACAACAACAACAACAACAACAACAACAACAACAATAATAATAATAATAATAATAATAATAATGATGATGATGATTGTGATGATGATAGTAAGATAATAAAAATAATGTACGAACATGTATATACAAATACATACACACAGTTGTTAATAAAAATCATTGCTCTTTCGGCGTGTTTCAAAATATATAGACGAATACAGAAACAAACAGACATACAAACATACATACAAACAAAACATACATACAAACAAAACATACATACACACAAACATACATACAAACAAACATACATACAAACAAACATACATACAGACGAACATACACTCAAGCATACGACCCACTTCTACACACAGCAAAGTTTTAAATTGATCGATCATCAAAGAGATTCCCTGTCTTATTAGCACACATACAAACCCACACACATACAAACAAGCAAACATACACACATACATACACACACACATACACACATACAAACAAACAAACAAACAAACAAACATTCGCACGTTAAATTTAACAAGATTACTATAAAATGTTTTTTAGTTTAAAAAAACTGGATGTTTAAAAAACAACCTAGTATATAGAAATTAATGATGATCTCGTGTGTGTGTGTGTGCGTGTGTGTTGTTCATTTAATAATTCAGAAGCTAAAGTTCAGCACTTGAATGTTTTAATCTTTTTAAAACGAAATCGTTTTAAAAATTTATGATAATTATAAAATCTCAAGTTGGCTAGCCAGTTGTATACCTACATACAAAACCAAACATACAAACACACATAGATACATACATATCCACATACATACATATGACATGTATACATATAAACGAACATAGATACACACATATACACATAAAAACACACATACGTACATACATACATACATACGTACCTACATAAACAAACACATGCATACACATCGTTCTGCTTGCTTAAGTACGATTCTATTTAAAGGATGAAAGAATGTACCGATGTATGTACTGTACAACCAATAGCAATACATAGATAGATGGATCCGTATCTAGGCCAAACAAAACAGAGCAATTGATGTTTTGTTTATGTTGTTGGCGTTGCTGCTGGCTGCTACTGCTGATGCTGCTCTTGTAGCTGCTTCTGTGGCTGTTGTTGTAGTTGCTGTTGTGGCCGTTGTAGTTGCTGTTGTTGTTGTTGGTGGTGCTAGTGATGCTGCTATTCATTACAGCTGATGTTATTTTTAACTGCTGGAGTTTGTTGTTATTGTTGCTTGAACGAAGTTAAAATAGTTTAAGCTGAAAAAACTTGATATTGATTTGTAGGCTAATTGCTGCTGATGTTGTTACTAATGCTGAAGTTGTTGCTATTATTGTTGGCGTAGCTGATTTTCTTGACGATGTTTTTGTTCATTTTCGAAACAACAAAAACAACAACAAATAATAATAATAATAAAAATGACGTCACCGTCCTTGTAGGTCATTCGCATAGCCCGGGATAAAACTTACCTCCAGTGTGCGTGCGTGTGTGTGTGCGTGTGTGTGTGCGTATGTGTACGTGTGCGTGTGTGTGCGTGTGTTTTAATGAGAAAAAAGCATTAATCAGCAGCAAACCTAGCAATTTTTATTATTATTATTATCATGTCTAGGTATGTAGTTATCTACAAAAAAAAAACAAACAAAACAAAAATACAGAGACGAAGACAAAACAAGTAACAGTACGTACTATTTTGTAGGCTGGTTGAATTATACGAGCAAGTTGAAATCTAGGTCAGAGAATAAAAATTTCATTCATTCGTTCGTTCGTTCGTTCTTTCGTTCATTCATTCAGTTCGTTTTCTCATTCATTCATTTGTTTGTTCTTTCATTCATTCATTTACTTGTTGATTGATTTATTTATTCGTTCACATGTTCGTTCTCTAAAATGATTCGTTCGTACGTTCGTTTGATTGTCGGCTCAATAGTTTGTTCATTCCTTCACTTCTTCATTCAAATATTATTAATTGATTGATTGATTGATCAATTGATTCATTCATTCATTGATTCATTCATTCATTCATTCATCCATTCATTCACTCATTCATTCACAACCATACATGCACACATACATACGTTCATCTGGTAATAGCTCAGAGTATGCGTGCATACAGAAATTAATAACAAACTCCTGCTTGCTTGAAATGTATGGATTAAAAAAAATTAATAATAATAAAAAAAAAAAAGTAATGTAACCAAGGAAAGAGAGAAAGAGAGAGAGAAAGGGAGAAAGAGAGAGAGAGAGAGAGAGAGAGAGTGAAAGAAAGGGAGATAAAGAGAAAAAGATAAAAAAAGAAGAGAGAGAGAGAGAGAGAAGTTTGTAAATGGCAGCAAAGATCATTCAATGAAACAGCCATTGGAACTGTTTACTATTGATGAACAGTAATCTTAATGAACAAATGAATGAATGAATGTATGAACAAATGAATGAATGAATGAATAAATGAATAAATAAACAAAGAAATGAACGAAAATAAATGAATGAATGTGGATTTGGAAGGGAACCGGGAATGAGAAAACAAAATGGGACCGAATTGGAACAAATTTCAACTCCTGCTCACCTCTAATGTATGTATATGTATGTATGTATGTATGTATGTATGTGTGTGTGTGTGTGTGTGTGTGTGTGTTTGTTGTATAGGAGCGTGTATGTTCATAAAATATTAACGCAGATAAAGCTGCAGAGCGAGTGCTTAAAGATACGTGATTAGTGATTAGTGTAACCAAATTTACAATGTCTTTTTGAGAACTGATGATGATGGTGATGATGTTGATGTTGCCGATTGTTGTGTTGTGATGATGATGATGATGAGAATGGTGATGATGATGATGATGAGAATGGTGATGATGATGATGAGAATGGTGATGATGATGATGATGAGGATGTTGATGATGTTGATGATGAGGATGTTGATGATGTTGATGATGACGATTCTCAAAAGGTAAAATAGGAAAGTTAGTTAAAAATAAAACATAAAGATAGAGAGAGAGAGAAAGAGAGGAGAAAAAAATACACTCAATATTTTTAAAAATTGAAATTGTTCATCAAATTTTAAAATTACGCGACTTACAAATTAATCATTTTCCTCTTCCGCTTCTTCCACATCATCCACATCATCATCACCACCACCACCGTCATCATCATCATCATCAAAACCCCCATCATCGTCATCGTCGTCGTCATAATCATTATCATAATCCTTTATTCCAATACCCATTCAAGGGCAACAAAAAAATCTTAATAACCAATTATACAAACACACACACACAAACACACACACACACACACTAAACTAAATTTAGTTAGTTTAACTTTAAATAGCTAAGAAGCTAAGACGGATTATTAATTATATTGAAATAATTTTATGATAAGACTGCTATTATCATTAGCGAAAATTTTTGTAAGCAAATTATTATTATTATTATTAGTGGTGGTAGTAGTAGTAGTAGTAGTAGTAGTAGTAGTAGTAGTGGTGGTGGTGGTGGTGGTGGTGGTAGTAGTAGTAGTGGTGGTGGTAGTAGTAGTAAAAACAAAACTGGAACGATGACGATCACAATGATGCTATTACAGATAATTATAATTAAAATAATGATAAAATACAACCTCACACACACACAAACACACACACACATACACACACGCACACACACAAACATACACACAGATATTATTATTACGATATATAATGACGGACCATAACGCAAATTGCAACTGGGAAAAAACTTACTTCCACAATAAATTCTCCCAAATGAAATAAATGAACGATGGCTTGATTGAATGAATGAATGAATGAATGAATGAATGAATGAATGAATGAATGAATGAATGAATGAATGAATGAATGAATGAATGAACCAATCAACCAGCCAACTAACCAATCAATCAACCAACCAACCAACCAGCCAACCAACCAATCAACCAACCAATCAGCCAACCAATCAACCAACCAACCAATCAGCCAACCAGCCAACCTCGTCGCCACATATTCCCGATGGCACAGCACTTCTTGTACCTGCAGTACTTGCAGCGGGTGCGGTTGAGAGTCGTGATGAGGCAGTTGCCGCCCAGCTTGCACTTGTAGTTGCGCGACTCGTTGCCGCAACGAAGGTAGAAAGTCTGTGTTTGGGGTGGCGATGAAGAGGATGATGATGATAATGATGATGGAAGTGATGGTGATGACAGTAGCGATGATGGTGATGATGACGATGACAAAGATAGTGAGGATGGTGATATGGATGATGAAAATGATGACGATGGTGATATGGATGATGAAAATAATGATGATGGTGATACTGACGACAATAATGACGTTAATGACGATGATGATGATGATGGTGACGATGATGGTGACAATTTGAGAAATTGTTAAGTGACAGTTATTAGCCTAAGGTTTGATAGGCAATCAGCATAAAATGAAAAAACACTGCTGAAAATCCTAAATGTCAACATTCCCATCATTACCACCATTGTCGTCGTCATCACCTCCGTCCAAATTTCACTCACTCACTCACTCACTCGCTCACTCACTCACTCACTCACTCACTCACTCACTCGCTCACTCACCTTACAAGGAATGCAAATAACACAACCCATGCTGGCGTCACCGCACACGTGACAGAATTGCGTCACTCCCGGTGGGCCGCCATTTTGTTTTTCGTTGTTTTCATCGCCATGTTTATCTTTTTCCTTATTGTTATTATTATTATTATTATTATTATTATTATTATTATTACTGCTACTACTGCTTATACTATTATTATTATCTAGGTTGTTGAATTCTTCGGTTTCATTGTCAACAAATTTCTCGCTGATGTTAATGTCATTGTTGTTGTTGTTGTTGTTGTTGTTGATGTCATTGTTGTTGTTGTTGTTGTTGTTGATGTCATTGTTGTTGTTGTTGTTGTTGTTGTTGTTGTTGTTGTTGTTGTTGTTGTTGTTGTTGTTGTTGTTGAGACACTTCCTTTTAGATTTGAAGCTGATGTGATTTAAATCTGTAAAGTTTTTGACGCCGCCATTAACGTCATCATCGTCTTTGCCGTATTTGAAATTAACCGTTGGATATTTATTAGTTTTGTTGTTGTTGCGGTTGTTGTTGTTGATGATGTTGTTGTTGATGTTGTTGTTGATGTTGTTGTTGCTGCAGTTGTTGTTGATAGTATCGTCCTCAACATTGTTAATTGTTTCGCTGTTGCTACGATCAAAAACAAATGTTGATGTTGTTGTTGTTTTGTCATCTGCAGAAGAAGGAGGTGATATGTCCATTTTGTTGATGTTGATGTTATTGACGCTATTGTTGTTGTTGTTGTTTTTGACGTTGTTGTAGTAGTTGTTGATGTTTTTGTTGATGTTGTTGTTACTGTTGGCATCAGTGAATGCAGAAAAACTAGTGAATGTTATATTGCTGTTAAGCTTCGCGTGAATGTTCTTGTTTTTATTGTTGCTACAATTGTTGTTGACAATGTTGTTGTTGTTGTTTTTGTAGTTGTTGTTGTAGTTGTTGTTGTTGTTGCTGGTGTTATGACGGACGTAAAAGAACTTATCTAAGCATTCCATAACAATTTATGAATAATAATTTAATTGTTGTTGCTGTTGTTGTTGACAAACAATCCTACAAAAAAAAAATTGATCGAAAAATTTTACTATGTTGTTGTTGTTGGTGGGGGTGTGATGATGTTA